ACATTTCCATTTTTGGAGAGGATATAGGATCTACACAGCCAATAAAAAGTTCAGCGACTAAGTGACTTGCACCATAGATGACTTGGTATATTAATATGAAAAAGTTATTTTGTTACGTTGCTTTTAATTAAGTGTATAGTTACTATTACCGTAGAACAATTTTAAAAAAAATATTAATATATTTGATTCAATTCATTTACAACTAAAGTGCGGATCATATATACTCTGATCCACACGTTGGATTTGGAAAAACCATCACCATTCAATTCAGCAGCTTTAAAAAAAGGAGTCAATTCACTTGTCTCGATTTCTTTTTTAAAATTTCAATGTTGAAAATTCAGTACGGGAGAATGTGGAGGAGATGTAACATTACACACCAATCAAAATTTAAATTTTTGGAGATAGTTTCTGACTTTTGTACTAGTTGCACAATGACACTGAATTTCCGTATTATCTTTATTTTATTGTAATGGGAAAAAAAAATTTTGTTACATGCTAACAAAATTGGAATTTTTAAAACGCCAAGCCGGTCCAATCAAAGCAGTATTTTTTATAATGTTTCGCTCATTTGTAACACACACCAAATTTGGTCCATAACAATTTACTTACGTAATTGGAAATTTAAATTGGTGCAGGTGCATCTATAATCAATTAATTGCGTTCAAAAAAATTTTATCTTTTTAAAAAGTTAACCAATTGTTCATGACTCAATTTATGGGCATGTATAAAAAAATTGCCAATCCAAATATTTAGATGGTCGGGCCATTATGAAGAAAAGGCACGGTATGTATTTGGGCGTTTGTTTAATCAATAAGTTATTATTATGGCACATTGTCAATACATGTTGTTATAACTAATATAACTGAGTGATTGAAAACTGTAACCTTTATATATAATTCATAAAAAAGAATTTGATTTTTTTTCATAAACATCAAATTTGGCATAAAATCACAAATTTTACATAATACATAACTTTATATATAACTTATATAATCTATACTATTTACAAAACCTTTTTAGCACATATCCTAGATACAACCAAATACGGTTTATAATGAGGATCATCCAATTCAGCAACAATTGATTCGTATTCTTTATTACCTATTCCATCAATAGCCAATGATTTAATCGAGTCAAGTATCATTTCGCCACCCTTTTTTTTGATTTTGTTTTGTAAATTTTTTAGAATATGAATTATAGTAATATATAATAATGATGATGATGATGATTTTGTGAATAAATACCATTCGTCCAAGTGTACTATCATTACTATTTAATGGCAATTGTTTACTTGTTGAAACAATATCATCAATAAGATTGGCTTTGTCTATAATATTTGGCAATCTTTTATATATATTGTAATCAATTCCTCTTGAAGCTATTTTGGATTTTACTTTAGAAATTACAAAAAAAAAAAAATCAAAAAAATTTTAATTCCTCCATTCCCTAATAGTTTTAGAAATTAAAACAAAATGTCACTTACTTTTCTGCTCAAGTGATTTGATTAAAGGACCAGATTGATAAATTTCACAATTAAATTCAATTATCTTTGAAAAATAAAATAATAATAATTATTTATTTATTTTAGAATGATTATAAACAGGTTATAAATAGATTTGCTTAACTTCTATCAACCCCCCTGGCTTAGTAACTCGTATAATCTCTTCAATAACTTCAATCCATTGCTCCTCTCTATACGCCAACATTAAATTCCTTTGATGAACATAATCAAATGTATCATCAGGAAATGGTATACCATTGAGAACGTCCTCTTTCAAGAATCCGACATTTTGTGGTCTATTTTTTGGAAACATTGGAAAAAAATCCACTCCTATGAAAATTGACATTGGATAATCATGTGCCATATCTAATATCCAGCAGCCTTGTCCACATCCTATATCTAGCACTGTCGCATTACCTAATTCCAGCACTTCTTTTACAGGCGCAGAAAAATTATTGCCCCAAAATATTTTGAAAGATTTATGAATGTATTCCATTTTTTTTAGTTCTTCTTCATTGTTTATGATTGGATATGGTGAACTCGGAACATCATTATAATCTTGAGATTCGATTATCTTGTAAACGCTTAAGCGTTTTTTTGATTTTGGATTTTTATTAAAATGCAGTATAAGTTTATTTTGTCGTTGAGTTTTTTTTAATGATTTGGAACTAAAGACGCCCATTATTGAAAAACGAAACATAAATTGAAAATAATGTTAAATTTTTTGATTTTTTAAAAAATTTTATATACATTATACCTCTTTTATATCCCTTTGTTTCCATATTACCAAGTATGTAGAATTAATATAAAAAAGGAAACCTGATAAAATATATGACTGCATTGAGATATATTCCATAAAAGATGAATTATTATTATGTAATATAAGTTTATTTTAAATTGAAAACACAATGTGTGCAAGTTTTTCGTGGGGAAAATCGAAATGATTGTATCAATTTTAATGTCATCCAAAATTTGTGAAAATTTTTTTAGAGCTAAAAATCTTTTTATGGATAGATCGGCGTTACACACATTTAATTCGTGATTCGCGAAAGTATGTATGACACGTCATGCTGGCAAAAGTGTACTGCAACAAATGTAGTACAACATTGGCGTGTCATAGTATGGTGCGCGGTATCTAGACATCAATTGCTGCGCCTCTTTTCGAAAATTTTAATCTTGATCTTCCTGATTAAGAAATCATTCAGATAAAATATTTAATTTCAATAGTAGACAAAGCAAAATGCCACCAGTAAAAGTCATTTAAAAATATAAAAAGGACAATAATGATACTAATAAACAATGTTAGTATGACATTACAATCATTTATTAATCTAATGATCTATTTTTATATCGTAAACCAGTTAGTTGTTGAATGATTAAGCTGATAAAAATTGTCTATGTTTGTTTTCTGATTGGTCAAATTAGTTTGATCAGCATGCCGAAATTTTTTAACTATGGTGCCAATCATATAAACACATCAAATGCTGCGCCAACCGGTGAAATTTTTCTATGAAAATCATTCCTTTTATGGGACTAATTTTTAACAATTTTTTAATTCAAATCTATTTCTTTCTTTTTTTTTTGTTAAAATGCTTAAAACAGAATAAAAGAAATCAACATTTACAAAAGGCTTGTGAAACTAAAAAAATGAAAGAAACTATTAAACCCATTACAGATGAATATATTGATAAGGAGGTGTTTGAAAA